CCTAAACAGCTTACAGTATTTATAGTATATTTTACAGTTCAAATAAATGTTTATCAAATAATTCCTAATGTTACAAGTGATCTCTGATCCTTTTAAAACAATCAGTTGAATAAGTAAACAGTGATATTTATGCATCACCTTCTGTTTTTTGTCTGTTTACATATGACTGCCTGATCTCGAGTCAGTCAAACGTTTTTTTCAGCTTCCAGTGGACTGATCCGCTCAGCAGAAACACAGCTTATCTGTGCTCACATCATACATGAGCGTAGAGTTTTGATGTTAGCTAACGCTGTTGTTTTTAAGAAGTGCTTGGTTTATAAGTCTTAGAAAAACATTCATTTTGCTAAAACCGATGAAGACTTGGCCTTTTTCTTTGACGATGAAGACTTCTGTTTTCTCTGTGCACAGCTGATCATAATGTAAACAAACACCCAGCCCCGCCTGAACCTCGCTCCCACATCGACCTTGTTTTCTGCTTTGGACTTTTATCTGTACCTAACATCTTACCTTTGCAGCATCGAGGGTCATTTCATCATTTTATTTGAATAATTCACTCCCTTTAGTTTTTCCTCTCACCTTGTGAACCCAATCAGACAGGAAATTCACCATCTTAGTCTGCCTTTAAACACATTAATAAATATTAAATCCATCAGTTTAAACACTGATTGAAACCCTGTAAAGAATGTTAAAGAGTGACCTTTTTAATATTTCAGATATTTACAGAATCTAAGGAAGTTAAGAGACTTGTTTTGTTCACATCCCTGTAAACATTGGTTTGGTTTTTAGTTGCTGATTTGGAACAAGATCCAAAAGAATGTTTTTTTATGCTCACTTATTGAAATTTACCTTTTTTATTTGTGAAGCACAAACAAAGAAAACTGTCTGTAAAAACAGTAAAAATGTGAATATGTTTAAATTAAACTCTTTATATTGCAGGTTTCTTGGAACCGGAAATATTTATATTTGTTTTAAAGTTCAACTTCACCTGTGACGTTTGTTTATTTTTATTATTTTCAGTTTTTTTTTGATCAATCAGATCATGGAAATGGCTGCACCGATCAACATGAAATTTGATAGGATTGCAGATGAGTCCGACCTACACTGAACCAACTGATGGTTTTACAATAGACCCCATATTTGAGGAGGGGTTCCATCTAAAGAGTGGGTGTCTGGACATGCAAAATTGCTTCTAACTTAAAAACTATTAAGATTTTGTTGTTGTTGTTTAGCTCTGATCAGGCCCACCAATCCCCCCACTCCCTTGGACCCCACTCCCAAAACAATAAATTACTCTTCAGTTGCAAACAAGTTCTAAATAAGAGGTGTTTAATTTGATTATTTATCATCGCTCACCATTCTTTTGACGTCCTTATATCTTAAACATTGAGAAGGTGAAATGGTGGTAATGTTTTGTGTATTTATAATGTAGTAGTAGTCCTGATGCATCTCAGTAATCCAGGTAAAAAATCAAAAAGAAAAA